TTTCAGAGTTGGGAAAAAGGATCTCCCTCACAACATACCTTATACTGACGGCTTTGGATTGAATTGCTCTGATTTGGGCAGGACCATGATATTTATAGTTAAATAAGGTATTGTAACTGGAAGGAAGGAAGAGAGGGAGGAAAAAAGTATTTATTTAGAGTTTACCTGGGATATATGAAAGACCAAGGACACAAAATCAAGCAAAAACAAACAGTCCCTGCCCTCAAGGAGCTTACATTCTAATTGGGGAAGACAGAACACAAAAGGGAGGTGGAAAGCTGGGGGGGGGGGTAGGTATTGAAGTGAAGGTCACCTTGTTTAGAAACTTGGAAGTCAGCTGGTGGAACCAGAAGGAGAATGAAGACTGGAAAGTCAGAAAGGGAACAGGCTGCCCAGGCTAGGCCCCTCTACAAAATAGAGGCCAGAGGAGGAATTCACCTGTAGGGGCGGGGGGAGTGGACCTTGCCTCTGCAAGGACAGACTTGAGGAGGCTCAGACTGGAGGGAAATTCCAGGAGACAGCAGCAGAGGTTTGGAAGTCTAGAAGTCAGGGGCTGGGCTAGTATCTTAAGATCACAGAGCTCTCCAACCTTACCCCCCCTCCCCCAAATGAAACTACTAGTTGTTTGTTTTTTCTGTAGTTGAATATGATGATACCCTGGTTTGAATATTTTCATACCAGATTGAGACTCTAAAGAAACAGATGGTGCAATTTATTGCAATTGCATTCAAACCTCACTTTGGAATCTTAGAACTCTGTTTTGGTGTATAAAATTTAGAACAGCAGAGTTATAAAAGTATCTGTTCTCTGTTGGGAAGCAAGGCATTCACACTGGGTCCTACATGGGGCATTCAACACCTTCTTCTCAGGGATAGCTGATGTAACTGGGGACCTACTTACCTGGGGATTTCTCCTTTAGTTTAGTGCAGAGGTTCCCAAACTTATTTGGCCTACCACCAACTTTTCAAAAAAAAAAAAATACTCAGCACCCCCCTGGAAATCTACTTTCTTTAACCCTTTAACTTTTTTTTTAAATTTGCATCAATTCAAAAAAATGTAAAATAGATTTTTTAAAAAAGTGACACATCTTAAATTTAATAATTTATTGTAAATTTGTGGGTTTTTTCCGGCATTGAAATTTTGACGATGTGATATAGTATGGTATTGTATTGTAAATAAATCATTACACAAACATATTTTTTACCTATACATGCTGGGCTTCTGGACAATGCACGACAAGCTAGCCCACCAACACTTGCTTGTTAAGACCTGGTTGCTTGACCATTGATTGGTTATAACTTGCATTTTTATGTGTTTATTTGGAAAATAATGTAATCATGATGACTTTAACTCTGTTACACAATAGAGGAAACATATAAGAATGGTTTTTCAAAATTTTCTTTTCTTCTTTCCTCATGCTTCCATGCCGCCTTACTTTTATTCAACACCCCCCAATTGCACCCAAGGCTACTATGCCCCCCTGGATTGTTCCAGAGCCCCCCAGGGGGCAGTAACCCCACTTTGGGAACCTATGGTTGGAAAAAGCAGTGAACTGAAAACTAGGCCTCACGACCTTGTTCTGTCCCTTCACTAGCTGGATGACTTTAGACAAGGCACTTAATTCCTGGGATCATTCTCTATAAAATAGGGATCATAATAGTTACCCTCCCTCTCTCATTGAGTTGTGAAGAAAATGACCTATAAAACAAAGTGCTACATAATGTGTGCAGTTATTAAACTAGATCTGAGCTGCACCAGTCAAACTAAGTACAGTGCCTAGCTCATCAGAGGTATTTAAACAAAACTATTTAATGAATTGAACCAACATATAGGAATTAAACCAAATACCACTCTTAAACATAGGGTCAGACAGCTAGGGGGTAAAGGAACTATATAGCCCAATTGCCATATTTTGCAGCAGAGGAAACTGGGGCCCAGAAAGTTTAAGTGATTTCTCAAATACAGTCAGTAACTGTCAGAAGCGGGATTTTGAATTTGGAGTCTCTGTCTCAGGGGTTCTTAACTTTGTTTGTGTGTACCATGGACCCTCTTGGCATCTGCTAAAGCCTCTGAACCACTTCTCAGAATAATGTTTCTAGATGTACAAAAAAAATATATACAGGATTACAAAGATAACAAAGTATAGTGGAAAGATTAATTGTTTTTTCATCCAAATTCATGGAACCCCTGAAATCTTGGTAGTTCACGGACCAGCCCCTAGATATGAACCCCTGTTCTATCTCCAGAGCCAGTTAACATCTTCACTGTTAATAAATTGCCACTGGGACCTTAAGGTCCTCTTACCTATCAGCTTTATCTTGCAGACTAAATCCTGGAGAAGTGGCAGCTAGGTGGTGCAGTGAAGTCAGGGAGACCTGAGTTCAAATATTGCCTCCAACACTTAACTAGCTGTGTGACCCTGGGCAAATCACTGAACGCTGTTTGCCTCAGTTTCTTCATCTTTAAAATGAGCTGGAGAAGGAAATGGCAAACCCCTCAGTATCCTTGCCAAGAAAACCCTAAATGGGGTCACAAAGAGTCGGACATGACTGAAAAACAATTGAACAAAAATGGGGATCACAATAGTACCTACCTCACAGGGCTGTTGTGAAGATCTAGTGAGATAATATCTGTAAAGTGCTCAGTACAAAGCCTGGCACATAGTAGGGGCTTAATAAATATTTGTTTATTATTTTTAATTAATAAATGTTTGCTCCCTTCCCCCCACACGGGGCCAAATTCAAACCCAAGTTCTCTACTTACCCTAGGCCCCTGGTAAAGGGTCCCTTTATGCTTCTTAAAACTCACTCTGGGGGCAGCTAGGTGGGGCAATGGATAGAGCACCGGCCCAGAAGTCAGGAGGACCTGAGTTCAAATCCAGCCTCAGACCAAACACTTGACACTTACTAGCTGTGTGACCCTGGGCAAGTCACTTAACCCCAATTGCCTAAAAATAATTAAAAAAAAAACAAAACCTCATTCTGCTCAGCACTGATTCATCTTTCTTAGCTGCTCCATTTGTGAAAAATCCAGCCCTAGGCCTTTTTCCTTGCTGCTCCTCCTTGGAACTTTTTCTCCAAGGCTTTTATCTTTCTTTACCTTTTTTTTTTTTTATACCTTTCTCCCATCCCTGAATCCTCAACTCCAGGGATTGTCTTCTGACTTCCCTTGGTTCATAAGCCTGTTTAGCTTCCTCCAGTTTCTAGATCACAGAAAACAAAAGGTGTAGTACAAACAGAAAAAAAAAAATAAGTTTGGCTTTAAAATCAGAAGACCTGGTTTCTGGTCCTACCCCTGCTATTCTCTATCTGCCTCATCTTGGACAAGTCACTTCTGTGTTCTCATGTATAAAATGAGGTTGGATTGGTGACCTTTTTTTTCCTCTTCCCTTTCTAAATCTATGGTCTGCCACACGTAACTCCAAAATACCATTTCCCCTTCTACCACAGCCTTGGTCTAGTATTCAACTCCCTCTCCCCTTTCTTACCCCCCTCTGCCACAGACTATTAACTATAGAGTGGGATTTCCATGGCTTTTTTTTGGGGGGGGTGAAGAGAATAAAAACATCCAGGAAAAAAAAATCTCAGGATAAAGGTAATCAGAAACGCATTTAAAACTATCCAGACTGAATGGTGCCTAAGCTAATCTTTAACTAAAATTCTCCAGCCCTAGCTCTGACTTAATGGCCTCTAGATAATGAGTATCTGGCTCTCTTATGGCCCCAAAAGAGAATCTGTCTTCCCCTCCACACGTCCTCTTCTGTTAAAATAGGATTTGTCCACCTGAGTGCCCCAAATTGAGCTCGTTGGCCCCTTCTGGGTTTTGTGACGATCACATAAAACACCCTGTACTCTTCAAGGCTATGTAAATGCTATTATTATCCTTATTATTAATGCCCTTCCAGATCCATTCTCACTCATTCAGAACGCATTCCTGATTGCCGGGAAGGTTTCTGGGGTGTTCTGCCTCCTTGTCAAGCACTTGCAAGGATGTTTTGTCCCTCGGGGTTACGTTATTCTCTATTTCCCATGCTCCCGGAGAAGTCCTCACCTTCTCTTTTTCCTGGATAGTTTGAACTGAGTTACAGCAGGTGAGGTGGGAGGAGACTCCTCCGTCCTCAGAAGAGATCTCGAATCCATAGCGCACATTTCACGATGTGCCCGCTGTCTGAAATGATGCCCGGGCACGGGCTGAGCAGGGAGGGAGGGAGGGAGGGGAGGAGGAGGAGGAGGAGGAGGAGGAGGAGGAGGAGGAGGAGGCGGAGGAGGAGGCGAGGGAGGAGGCGGTGGATGGCGCTGCCAGCTTGCATCGGGGTACGTGGCACTTGCTGTCCCCGCGGCGGGGGAGGAGGAGGAGGAAGAAGAGAAGGAGGAGGGAGTTTGCTCTCTCCTCCCCTTGTCCTTGAGCAGGAGGAGCAACCACCAGACTGACAGCTCCGAGAGACTCAGACTGCAGATTTGGGGACCTTTGTGGCAGAGGCCCGAGCTAGCAAGGCACATCGCCCTCGCCCCCGCCGTGGCCGTGCCCGCTGCCGAAGCCCACCTCGCAGATCGGGGGACGCCCGGAGGCTCTGCGCCCTAGCTCGCTCGGAGCCCCGGGCACGGGCCCTTCGGACTACAACTCCCAGAAGCGCTTTGCGGTTCCCGCATGCGCAGGGACCGCTGGCGCCATCTTGAAATCTGATCCTCGATCTCTGAGCTGGAACGTTAGCGGCGGCGGCTGCATCGGCGGCCCTGAGCGGGGCCGGCGGCAGCAGCGGCAGCGGCGAGAAGGGGAAGAGAGGCCGGAACACCGTGCCCGTGGCTGGATGGCCGAAGCCAGGATGGTCGGTTCAGAAGGAGGCCGGCGCCGCGGTCGCTTGGCATCCCCCTGAGTCTCCCGCCGGCGGACGGCGGGTCCGCGAGGGGCGGGGACGCGCGCTCCCTGCGAGTGGTACCCAGAGCGGGACACGCGCACGCGCGGGCGCGCCCAGGTAGAGGCACAGGTGTGTGCCAGCCGGAAAGCGGGTGCGCAGGGGCATGGCGTGCGGGCGAGCGAGACCCGGAGCCTCGCCGCGGAGCACCCATAGTGACTGACCGCCTCCCAGCCCATCCCTTCCCAGCTCATCCCATCCCCTCCCTGGGAATCCAGGCACAGCCAGGACAGAGAATGAAGGAAATCTGCAGGATCTGTGCCCGGGAGCTGTGCGGCAACCAGCGGCGCTGGATTTTCCACACCACCACCAAGCTCAACCTCCAGGTGCTCCTGTCCCACGTCCTGGGCAAGGATGTCTCCCGAGATGGCAAAGGCGAGTTTGCCTGCAGCAAGTGCGCTTTCATGCTGGACCGGATCTATCGCTTTGACACGGTCATCGCCAGGATCGAAGCCCTCTCCATTGAGCGCCTACAAAAGCTGCTGCTTGAGAAGGATCGCCTCAAATTCTGCATCGCCAGCATGTACAGGAAGAATAATGACGACCCCGGCACCGAGGCCAAAGTAGGGAATGGGACTGTGGATATTTCCAGTTTACCTGATGTCAGATACACTGCACTACTCCAGGAAGACTTTGCATACTCTGGGTTTGAGTGCTGGGCAGAAAATGAGGACCAGACTCAGGAAGCTCACAGCTGCCATGCTTCAGAGGGCCCTGGAAACAGGCCCCGGAGGTGTAGGGGCTGTGCTGCTTTAAGGGTTGCCGATTCTGACTATGAAGCCATTTGTAAGGTACCCCGAAAGGTAGCCAGAAGCATCTCCTATGGGCCTTCTTCTACCAGGTGGTCCACCAGTATATGTACTGAAGAGCCAGCCTTGTCAGAGGTTGGGCCTCCAGACTTATCGAGCACAAAGGTACCAGCGGATGGGGAAAGCATGGAAGAAGGAACTCCTGGTTCCTCTGTGGAATCTTTGGATGCTACTGCACAGGCCAGCCTTCCACAACAGAAGGATGAGGAACCCGAGAGAGGCAGTAAAGAACTCCCAAAGTGTGATTGCTGCTCAGATGATCAGGCGATCCAATACACATGTGGCCACAAGCTGGAACTAGCTCTTAGCATGATTAAAGGTTTTGACTATAAGCCCATCCAGAGCCCCCGGGGGAGCAAGCTTCCTATACCAGTGAAATCCAGTCCACCTGGAGCCAAGCCTGGCCATCTCATGGCAGATGGAACCAGTCCCAATTTCCTAAACAGGCCTGTGAAACCCCTTTCCAAGACACCTGTGGGCTATTCCCTGGAGATTTCTGAACTGCAGGAGCTGTGGGATGATCTCTATGAGGACTATTTGCCACTACGGTTCCAGGTAGATGATATGTAATACTATGGCACTTCGGTTTTATCAGATTACACAGCTAGGCTCCAGACTTTCAGCATGGCTTCTAATTAGTCAACATTCAAAGTTAACATGCATTTCTAAGGTTTTTTGAAGTATTCTAACTCTATCCTCCCTTGTCTTTCATGCTCCCATATTTCTTTTTTTGCCACTTTTTTTGGTGTGTAGATCAGTCTACTTCCTGCTTTGATTCTGCATGCAACATCAGTTGACCAAAAAAAATTTTTTTTTAAAGCAAAAAGATTCAGACAACACTAAATTCATAGTAAATTTTGCCTTTAAAAAGGCAGGCAGCCTATGCTCCAATACCACCCCTCTCGTTTACCTCTTCCTCTTTCCACTTCACAACTTTATTGATCCTCTTCATTGTCAGTCAGAGGGCTGGTTTTTTTCTTTCTCACAGACTAGCCTGAAACAGCAATCTTTTTGTGTTCAGGTGCTCCCAAAGTGATTGCAGCAGATGGTAAGGTTTGAGGAAAATCTCTTAATTAGCTACACCAGAAAAATGCTTTTGTTCAGCTGCTGTATTTATTGTAATTAACGGGATCATTTGGGGGCTCTTGTTGAAGATGGTTTGTTTTCTCCCTTGAGCCTTTTTTTTTTAAATTTTAAAGGTCTTGGGGATTAAAATCAGATATTATTTAAAGTATTTAGATGAAAGCCACTCACAGCTATCAATCCCAGGTGCATCTGTTCTGGGTATATTTTTCACCAAGCTGAGGTTTACATACTTGTCTTGTGGGAAGAAGATTGCACCAGTTAGTGTTTTGATTTCACTTAATGACTTGAGAGAGGCAATTGGTCTTAATTCTTCTGAACTCAGACACTAGAGAGGTGCCATTTTGTTTCTATAGTAACCATAAACACTAGATGCCTATAGTTTTCTGCAATACTTTAGAAACAAATCAAATGTTGTCACCTAGAGTGAATGCTTAGAAATTATATTGGAGTGCTATGAACTAACATAAGCAAGGACATGAGTTTTATTACTTGAAAACTTAAAAAGGGGTTCTGGGATGCCAAATTAAAATTTTCTCTACTATCAAAATAACATCCAAGGTAGTATCTTCTCATGAGGAAAAAAAAGTAAGAAAATTATATTCAGTACACTTAAATATTATGCACAGTATGTAAGGAGTATCTGTGAAAACTCTGAAAAAAATAATAAATACCAGGTAGACTACTATTTCTTTTATTTTTCTGCATTTTAAAAAAGTCAGCTATTATGCTTAGGACCAATATCTTTTCCTTTTATGCTTGTTCCTTTTATATACTTTCAGATGGAAATTATAATAATGATACTATATTGTTCATGTTTATGTAGTACTTCACAAAGCTATGAGGTAGGTTGTTCAATAATGATTTCCCCCATTTTACATGAGGGAGCTGAGGCTCAGAGAGATTTAAGAAGCCATTTATTTTGCTAGACATCATCACAAATAATGCTCAGTGCTTTCGTATCAATTCTGCAGAAGTAATATTTGCCTAGGCAAGGTGGAAGGGGGAAATATTTCACTTCACAGATCGATAATAGCTAGGGCAGAAGAACAATGATCGGAAAAGCATAGGCCCAACAGGAAGAGTTTTGTCTTCATTTTCAGTCACTCTGCTCACATTTTTGAGCTGCAAGGTAGCACATCCTCCAGTCTAACCCTCTTATTCAACAAATGAAGACACTGCATCTCCTAGAAAATTGTGACTTACCTCAGGATCACCACTAAAAACTATATCCCCTAATTCTTAGCATTATACTTTTCCTTCTCTGCTACTCTCGCTGAAATATCTCCTTAAAGGCTGGAATTAAAAGGAGTCCCGAGCCTTTTCACTATAACCAGAGTTACAGAAGGTGTTTTGGGGGATTCTGTAAAATAAAATGTGGTTGCACTAGACATGCTTTAATATATGCCTCCATTTTATCACCTCCAGGCACACATTTCGCAAAGGTTCAGGATATGAAAAGCAGTGTTTGAACAACCTGGCCATTGTATGTGACCTTCCTGCTAGCTAGCATCTCTTACTTGAATCAGAATGTATAAGAATTAGAAGAGGACCTTAGAGGCAATCTAGATCAAAATCTTCATTTTATAAATGAGAAGATCAGTTCCAGATTTTTCCCAAGTCACACAGATAAATTCCCCCAAGGGGGAACTTGGGGCTCAGGTTTCCTATTTCCCATCTCTGCTTGGACCACTGTATCACAATGCCTCCCTTTATCCCGTTGTTTGTGAGAGAACATCACGACCAAATGAAAGAGAAGAATTTTAGAAGCTGATTTATTATTCCAAAATCTGCAATAATGGGAAATAAATTCTATTTGCAGTATTATTTCTAAATAAAATCACTTGGCAGTGATCCATTTTGGAAATTGCCCTATTATTGGTTTTGCTAGCGCTCCTTAGCAGGAATGCTTTGTACAGAACCAGAGCTTAGTGGAACAGGGAGAAAGAGAAGGGCATTTCTCTTTTGTCTTGTCAGACCCCTTAAACCCTTAAATGGGTAGAGCCTTCAAAATTTGGTTTTGGTAACACCTGCTTTAGAATTTGGGAGAAAAAGACTAAGCAAACAGATTTCTCTGAGTCCTTTGTTTAATCCCACGCTTTCCCCAGGGACTGCCACTCTGTGTTAATAAATGCTGCTCTCAGGGACTTTGTCCTGATAGCTGATTTTCTCTATGAAAAATATCATCCTAATATTTCTACTTATTGATTCCTTTATGTGAATCGATTCCATTCTTTCCCATATTTTTGCCTAAGAATTTGTGGCTGTTAGCATTTTTTTTTTAGGTTGGTATGAAGCTGTATTTTATTTGGGGACCTCTTTTCTTCATTGTCTGGTTTTGAACTAGAAAGGCCCTGGGGTTATGCTTTCTTTCCTAAACAGCCTTTCAGGTTTCTGGTACCTCTGGCATTTTTACCTTTTCAGATAGATACAGACAGCACAAGATGTTTTGATCTTTGCAGCAAACCTTGTAGTGACTGAAATGAATCTCTCCTTTGTTGGAGCACTTGGCTTGTTTCTGTCATAGTTCCTGGCTACCCTTGGAAACTGACAAGAGTCCAAAGGGCCATCAGTCCAGGACAAGAGCTTTAATCTTCCATTACCATTTTGTTGTTCATCTTCCATTTATTAGCAGCCTGAATTGAAAATTAGAGCAGCATGAGGTCTGAGCCTTCTTATTTTGAGGGCTGAAGCAGTGCCAAGCAAAATGCTTTTTAACTAGAAGAATCTGAGTAACAATAATGTCACAGCCTTAGCCTTGGATCGAAGGGTTGGCATTTTGCTAGCCGCAAGGCCAGGAAGTGGTTTTGCTTTCTAAACCAAGGGAGTTCTATCTAATAGGTTCTATCTCTGAGTGAAGTGATTTCATTTTCAAGTTGCATTATCATTCATTCCAGTGTCATTATAGCAGCTCCCCAGATGTAGCATTTTGGGTTAATGTTGAGCCAAAGTATTGCAGGTTGAAGATTTGATCCAGCTTTCATATCTCACTCTCGTGATAAGTATTTGATGCTTAAGCATATTGAAATGCAGTCATCACCATGATAAATAATACAAGTTCACAGGCCTCAGGTTAAGAACACTTTTTCTAAGAGAGGGAACATTTTTCTGATACATAGGGATTTAGCTGGAAGGAACCTTAAGAGTAAGATTTTTTTTTTAACCAGGCCTGTGATTCACTGCAGTAGAATATCATTGCAACAAGAAATCTCACTGCTGATGTAGATTCTCTGTTCACCTGTTCTGCAGCTTAGACCCTGGGAGCTGCCAGAGGCACTGAGAAGTTAAAGGGACTTTTACCAGGGTCTGACAGAGGCGGGGCTCAAACCCAGTCAGATCTCCCTGATTTTGAGGCTGTCTATTACATGTCCCAACCTAATTTAGGATTAAAAATAAAGGCAAAACATCCAGTTTCTGGATCTTTAGAAACTAGGAATTATTTCAGCATAACTGACCGTTCTCACGGACAGATAAACTGGGTTTAATATGTAGATTTCAATAGAAATTCCTTGACTTTTGAAATTAGTCCATTTCTATCCTGAGGATAATGTGAATTGTAAGCCACAAGCTTGTTTTTTGGAGAGAATCTCGTGGCCAAGCAGCCTGCAAAATCAGCTTTAATAGTTACGTTCAGTAGACGAGTGATTCCTTAATGTATATTGTTACAATATATTCTTGTTAGTTTATCATTACTGGAAATAATCAAACAAATGCATTAGGTCCTTCTTCCACAGCCCAAAGTTCTCAAAGGGTGGGCTTGTGGTTAAAATTCTTATTTACACACCCACCAGTGCTCTTCACATCTTTTTTTCTGGCCACATAGAAGAAAAGTTTGAAGCAGATTAAGGGAAGACTAGTATGCTTACTCTCATTTGTCTGCGTAGAGGTTTTTTTGAATTGTTCCTGGATAAAGCTGGACATTTGGAGGTATGGTTTATATTCCCAAATTTACCATGAACTTATCGGGTTACTTATCACCATCTTTTTTGTCTTTCTCTTCCCCATTTGCAAATGAAAGTGATATTCCTTGGCCTTTACCTGATTTCCAGAGTTAGGAGATTTGGGGCTACCTGGAGATGAAAATTGAACACGGATTTCTTACTAGGAACTTCAGAACCCTAGTTCTGATTTTCTCTCCCAGTTTGTTTTTGTGTTGTCTTTAAAGTCAGAATACAGATTTAGTATATCAAAGGATGAATGCTGATAGTCTATAAATGCCTCTGAGACACTTTGGAAGATGCCTATCAGCTAATATTTATTGGGTCTCCATTAGCCAAATTAGCACTGTAAAGATGCATAGGTCTCAATCTTAAATCTTAAGAACTTAAGTAGTTTCTGATTAATTGCTTTTAGGAAAGGATTTAGATCACTCTGGTACTTTTATTGTTGGATTTGCATTTCACTTGATTTTTTAGATAATTTATTATCCCATTAAACCCCCAGACTTCCATGTCTAATTCCTGTGGTTTTCTGATTTCTGTGCCCATTAAATCGTCTGTCATATGAATAACAGTACGAATGACTTGCCCTTCACTAGGTTTTCCAGAATTTTGAGAACTTTAATCAGTCTTTATATTGATTATATATTCTATATAATGTAATTATATTGATTATAAATATATAAGATTTATGTTTTAACCCCTTTGAACATAAATAAGATAATTGGTATATTAGCATTCCTACATCTTCCCTATCTTTGACTTTCACAATAAGTGACATTTCAGACTTCCTATAGTCTTTGATTATCTTTATAGGTCATATAATATAAATTTGTCTCTCAAGTTGCACATTTTAAGTGATATACTTGCTAGAAGGTAATAGTAATACCTCGTTCTAGCTCCAAACAGTGTTCTGAGAATTGTTGTTCATCAGTGATTTTTGAATTCATCAGCTATAAGGAAACAGGCTAGTTTCTAGCCATCTCCATAAAACCTTTTCCTTTTAAGAAAAAAATATACTTTTTTTCCAAACCAAGCTATTTTATTTAATATGATATCAGATTGATGTCACTGAAGAGAGGGAACCATTTTTATTCAAGCAAGGGCTCCTTGTATCTTGTAAAAAATGAAAGTCAACAGTAATAGCCACGTTGTGCGATGACTAACATTGATAGACTTAACCCTTCTCAGCAATACAAGGATCTAAGACATCTCCAAAGGCCTCATGATGGAAAATGCTATCCATATCCAAAGAAAGAACTATGGAGTTTGAATGCAGATCGAAGCATACTGTTTGCTATTTTTTTTCTTCTGTTTTGTTTTGTTTCCTCTTTGTGGTGGTTCATTCTATTGGTTCTAATTCTTACTTACAACATGACTAATGTGAAAATATGTTTAATAGGAATGTATATGTAGAGCCTATATCAGATTGCACGCCATCTTGGGGAGGGAGGTGGGGAAGGAGGGGGAGAAAAATTTAAAACTCCAAAGCTTATGGAAGCGATTGTTGAGAATTCAAAATAAATTACTTTTAAAAAAATGAAAGTCAAGATCACTTCTTAAGCGTTTGATTAACTGCTCTTATTTCATTTCTTTTAGAATATCGCTGAAGAGCCACTCCAGTCACCGGAGCTGAATTCAAATGAGGCCACCACGACCCAACAGTGTGTGCCTGATTCTCATTTGGCAGAACTTCAAGACAAAATTGAGCAAACAGACGCTGCCAACAAGGTCTGGCTTCATCTGTGGCAAACTCCGATTGACAGTCATGGAAGGCCAATAAAAGTTTGATACCTGTGAAGCCCAAATGTGCTCGGCAGGGTCCACCAAGCATCCCTACAAAATCTCCCCCAGTAGTTTTCAGCTACTCTTCTAGGGAATGCTTCCCCTGACCTAATTATATTCTTTTCATCTTTATTCCTCTTGAGAATTATAGTTTGTCCACAATTAAGGTGTATGCTTAGGACTAACCTTGAACCTGAAACTTGGGGGGCTTCTGTGCTTGTTTGCTGCTTCACCACCTTTTAAAGAAGGCAGGTGCCCTCCCATTTCTCTCATTTGCTTCTGCTGATTCACTTAAGGGTTTAATGAGTACTATCCCTAGAGAAGTAACAGGGGGCTAGGCCCTGGTTTGTATTTCCCAGAGTCTCAATGGCAGCCAGAGATTTGGGAGGAGGGATTTTGTGGCAGATGGCATGGAAAGACTCGTCCTGATCATCAAATCTTTCTTCTTTGCCACGTACAGATTCTACAAGAGAAACTGAATGAAATGAGCTGTGAACTAAAATCTGCCCAGGAAGCATCACAGAGGCAGGATTGTACAATTCAGAACCTCAGTCAGTCCTTGAAGAGCAGGGAGAGTGAGGTAAGATATTCCCTAAGAAATGGTCAGTACTTTCTTCGGCATCGATCTGGTTGTGTTTTCTCAGGAGCTCCCTACAGAATACAGCTCAGCCTGCTGTTCCAGAATTGCCATTCTGCAGTGTGGGACTAGCCTGCTTCACCAGCCTTTTCTCATTCTGTTACCCACCAAGCACTCTGCTTTTTACTTGTACTGTCCTCTCCCCACTCCCCCTTTGCCTCTGAAATTCCTTCCTGTCACTGAAAACTCAACTGAATGCCACGTCCACCAGGTCTTCCCTGAGCCACCCTAGTTAATAACTACTGCCTCCCATTCTTACTGCCAGACCTCACGTCATGCATCTCTGATAAGTTCATCTGATATTGTGTACTGTTGATATCTGTGTATACTCTGTTTGGCTTTTAAAGGCCTTCGTAACCTGGCCCCTTCCTACCTTTCTAGTCTTCTTACATCTTACTCCCCAACACGTACTTTTTGATCCACTGACCCAGGGCTCCTGGCTGTTTTTTACGTAAGAAGCTCCTTTTCCAGACTTTAGCTATTTTCTCCAGACCTGAAATAACATCCCTCTTCATCTTTGCCTCCTGACTTCCCTGGCTTTCTTCAAATCCAGCCAAAACCCCATCTTTTACAGGGAAGATGTAGAAGTCTGTCCCAATCCTCCTTAATTCAGGTCCTTTCCCTCTATTGATTATTTCCAACTTATCCTGTCCGTAGCTTGTTTGTACATAGTCTTTTGTATTTGTCTCCCCACATTGGCCTGTGGGCTACCTGAGAGCAGGCATGGTCTTTTTGCATTTAGCCCTTAGTGAAGTGTTTGGCACATAGTAGGTACTTAATAAATGCCAGTTGACTGAATAACTGATTGTTTATTTGCCATTTCCTCTACTAGACTATAAGCTTTGTGAGGACAGGCTTTCTGTCTTACCAAAGCTTTTATCCTTCAACATTTACCGTAGTTCTGTATGACATAGGTATTTAGTAACTGTTCATCAATTCTGTCGAAGTAGGAAAACATTTTCCTTCTATGATGGTAGAAACTGATTTTTTTTTTGGTACCCAGAAACTGGGCTCAATCCATTGTAGCATGACATAGATTTGTTCGCTGTTCCCCCGTGGTCAGGGGGGCAGTGAGCTTCCATGTTTAGCTTGGTCCTTTATCGTCTTTCAGACTGAAGAGCTATACCAAGTGATCGAAGGTCAGAATGACACAATGGCCAAGCTGCGGGACATGCTGCACCGAAGCCAGCTCGGACAACTCCAGGTAAGTGGGCACTGTCCAAGGCTCAGCACCCCCACTTTCATTTCCTTTTGTACTCGGCTATTGGCTCAGCCCCCATTGTTGGATGCTTTCTTTCCTCTTCTCAGCCCCCAGAAGGTGGGTCCCCAGCCCAGCAACAGCTGGCCCTGCTAGATCTCCAGAATGCCTTATTCTGCAGCCAGCTGGAGGTTCAGAAGTTTCAGAGGGCATCCCGACGGAAGGAACGGCTCCTGGAGGATGCCAAGCGGAACCTTCAGTTCATGGAGGCTGCAGCTCAGGGGCTGGAGCAGCAGACGGAAGCGTCACGGACCCACAATCAGGTAAATCATTAATCCATCTGTGGCAGCAGGAACTGACTTTCCCCTCAACCGCCACTGCTTAGCACCAGGGTTTGCTTTACTTATGATTTTTAAGCACCTTTGACCCGTCGGCCTTATCGCAGTAATTCAGCAAAGCCTGTATTTGACATTCCGAAACTCGAACCAACCAGGTGACAGACTTCTTGCTTGGAAAGGGTCTTTGGCATGCTGCTCCCCTAAGAGTCTGCTGCCCGTTTTAATTTGAAATCAAAGTGCGCTGTGTAGCCTGCAGCTGTTTCCTTGAGGATCTTAATCCAAATTGAGTTTTGAAGATGGAACATTTTGAATATTTCTGTTGCGATTTAGTCTGGAAAATATTTATTTGAGCCCTGAAGGAGGTCACCAGACACTGAGAAATGTCGACTCTGAAGAATCTGTTAAAGCCAGAGTTTGGAGTTGGGGAGACTTCTTACTTTTTCCTTAGTTCCTTAAAGAAATTGTTTTCTTGACCAGGTTTCATCAGGTATTTTAGGGGGCAGTCTACGTGAGAACATTGTTTAAAGTTTTAGATGGTCTCACCTAAGGAAAATGAGTCACAGTCTTTACCGGCTCTCTAGGAGAGTAGGCAGTGAAAACAGCCAAATATCCCCAGGCTTCTGAGGATGAGAACCAAACGCTCTGACCCATGACAGAGACGTTCTGTTGCTAAACGTAAGTTTTTGAGCTCGCTGGAGTGATTCGCTTTTTCCCTCCTCCTCCTCCTCCTCCTTGCCTGAGGAGCGAATCTTAACGAAGAGATCCTGTCACCTCAGACATCATGAGCACCCTCATATCATCGTTTCTGCTGGCATTGTTTCAAGATGGCTGCTTCCTGCTCTTTGCTGAGCTGTTTCCATCCAGTGGGGTCTACGCCAGGAAAGTGATTTTCTTCCCATGGTCTACACTTGAGCCAAGTTAAATGGCTTGCTCTTCCTCCACTGCGGCCTGTGCTTCCCCACTTCTGTGCCTAGAGTGCTGGTTTTGTTTTTTTGTTTGTTTGTGTTTGTGAGGCAGTTGGGGTTAAGTGACTTGCCCAAAGTCACACAGCCACTGAGTGTTACGTTTCTGGTCTGAGGCCAGATCTAGAATGCTGTTTTGCCCAATATTTGTCTATTGACAGCCTGTCCATCCTTTGGGGACCAGCTCAAAGGCCACTTCCCACTGGAAGCAGTCTCTTCCTTTCCCTCCCTTTTTTCCAGCTTCCTCTTCTCAACTCCCATAATACTCTGTATCTTTATTATGCAGCTGTCATTTTGTATTATAGTACTGTTTTGATTTAAAGTCATTTGTGTACGTCTTATGTCATCTAATTGATTGTAAACTCTTTTGGGGTAGGTGATGCAGTGGATAGAGGGTTAGGCTTGTGGTCAGGAAGACCAGAATCCAAATCTGGCCTCAGACACTTACTAGCAGAGCCTGTCACTTAACCTCTGTCTGCCTCAGTTTCCTCATCTGTAAAATGGGAATAGTAATAGCCCCTACCTGCAGGGTTGTTGTAAGGATTAAATGAGGTAATATCTGTAAAGTGCTTAGCACAGTGCCTGGCACATAGTAGGTGCTAAATAAATGCTAATGCTATTATTACCTTTGCATCTCCTTTGATGCCTAGTATGCTGCCCTGCACATACAAGACATTTAACAGGTGTTTATTCATTTGAAAGCTTACACTTTTATTCATGATGGAAAATGCTATCCACATCCAGAGAAAGAACTATGAAGTCTGAATGCAGATCGAAGCATATTTTTACTTTTTTTGTTTTTGTTTTTTTCTTTCTTGTAGTTTTCCCCTTTTATTCCGATTCTTCTTTCACAACGTGACTAATGTGGAAATATATTTAACATGATTGTACATGTATAACCTTTATCAAATTGTTTACTGTCTTAGGGAGGAGGGAGGGGAGGGAGGAAGGGAGAAAAATTTGGAACTCATAAAAATGAATGTAAAAATGGGGCAATAAATATTTCAAAAAGAAAAAAAAAGAATGCTTACCCTTTTAAGCATCCAACCTGCACTAGGGAGTGAAAGCAGAAGATTTTGCTGATCAAGGTTGTGTGTTTTATTTCAGGAATTGCGAAGTACCCTGCAGCAACTACAGGCAGATTTACGCAGTAAGAACAAGCAGCTTCAGATGCTGGAGGGTGCGAGGTGCCGGGAGACCCAAGCCCAAGAGCAGAGCGTTCAGCGTCTGAACCACAGCCTGCGTCAGAAAGACCAGCTCCTGCAGGTGAGCCACTGGGATGGACACGGTTGCTGTGACATCAGATTACAGATCATTGTCACCCAGATCAGAGTTCTCATTGCATCCAGAACTCTGAATTAGGCCCTGGGGGGATAATATCTGTGAAACAGAAGGTGTGGGTCCCACCCCCAGGATTTCCAGGTGTTTGCGAAAACCCAATGGTATAGGCCTGGAGAATCCTTACAAAGACTTACACAACCCTCAGTGCTGGTCAGCAGATCTGTGATTACCTTGACGTCGATGAACTCCAGGGAGGGAGTAGCTTGGCCCAGCCGATCACCTTAGGGAGTTGCCTTGGTCTTTGGGAGTCTCTGTGACTTGCCCAGGATCACATGACCAGGGTGCATCAGAGCCAGCACTAGAACCCAGGCCCCCCTGAGGGAGAGGCTGGCCCTGTAGCCACTGTGCCCCAGTGCATCTCCCAAATACAAGTAAGAATTATAGGAATTGAACAGTTAAGAGAAAACTCCATAACACATCTGTCATCCTTAGGTTAAAGCAGTGAAATTCCCTGGGCTTTATTAAAAAAAAATTCAGTTTCCAGGCTGTGAAGCCCCAGGTAAATATGGGTAGAGTGGAAATCCCCCTTGAGAATAGGATCCCTCAAGCCATGCAACACGAGGAACTTTGTACTTCAGGCTCGTGGGAAGCAGAGGCCAGGAGCTCCTGTGGACTTCAGGGAGCACAGCAGGACCTGCTCAACAACTGGCAGTTCAGGAGTATGAGAAACGGACTCGTGTGGGCCCCTTTTGCCTTCGGTAGAGGAGGTTCTGCTGACTGTCCGTCCGGGGCCATCCTCCCACCTTCGTCATGCCAGCTTTTTATCTTTCTGCGCCATTCTCGGGTTTACCCCCTCTGGCCGTGTGGGGCCCAAGCTAGGTGTGAGAGGGCTCAACGGTTCTGGCCTTTGTGGTCCCATCCTTTTGTCAGCAGGTCGGCTTCCTTAGGCTTCTGGGCCTCAGAGAGATTTGGTGGCTTTATTGCTAAGGAATAGGGAGAAAGAAAGATAAGCCACTTTGAAATGCACCTCCTTGCAAAGGCTGAAGATTTGCTGTGTAACTGTGATCATTGTGCTCTTTGGCAATGTGTAACTATGGGAAATTCTTTGGGTCTCACTAGGAATACCGAGAACTCATGCAATATCAGAACAACTCAGAGAAGAGCCTTGAGGCGAATGAAATGATGCTTGAGAAACTTCGACATCGCATCCAAGACAGAGATGTTGCTTTAGAGGTAAATCAAAATCTGCTCCACTTATGAGAAAGGCCATGATAGAGAACTTACTATCTACTGTGTATAAGGGCTTTACATGGGGAGATGTAGAATTAAGAGTGTTCTCTGTTGAAAGAACTGATACTATTTTCACTTTTTTTTCTTTTTGTTCTGTTTCTTCTTTCACAACATATCTAATGTGGAAATGTGTTTTACGTGGAAAAAAAAAAAAGAATGTTCTCTATTCCTCACTTTAAATTGCCCTGGAACACGTGGCTATTTGGGCACTGACTCTTTTGGAGGCCCAGGATTTTTTTCCTAAAACCTCCCACTTTTACATCATTATTAAATGGAATAATATTTGTAAAACACTTAACACAGTCACATAATAGGACTTAAAAAATGCTAATTCTCTTCCCCACCATTTCCCGGCAGCGGGCCATTGATGAGAAGTTTTGTGCCTTAGAAGAAAAGGAAAAAGAATTACACCAACTTCATCTTGCTGTGAGAGAGCGAGATCATGATTTAGAGAGACTTCGCTGTGTCCTGTCTTCCAATGAAGCCACCATTCAGGTGGGTATCGTGCCCAGTCACTCCCTAATCTGTTTTCCTCCTGCTCGAATGAAGTACTGTTCCTTGCCTCCATTTTTCAGAATCAAAGCACTAGCCTTATCAGTTTCCCACACAGATGAAGAACAAGGCAGTAGTCCCTTGTTTTCTTCTGGGAGGAACAAACACCATGCTCTTCTGATGGCGTGTTGTGATATGTGAGGTGTTTGTAGTCTGACAGCCTTCACTGGGCTCTAAAATGTCAACCCTTAGTCTGTGTACTTTCTCTCAGACTGACTTAAATTGGCATTTGAGGCTTTGAATCTTTCAATCACTTCTTAAAAGACTTGCCACTCTTTCAAGTTCTAGTCCACTTTCCTTCTAAAACTCTGGCCCCACAATACCTGTGTTTTTGTCTGAATCTTAGTCATCAGGGTTGAGAATTTCTTTTTTGTTTGTTTGTTTGTTTTTGGTGAGGCAATCAGGGTTAAGTGACTTGCCCAGGGTCACACAGCTAGTAAGTGTCAAGTGTTTGGTCTGAGGCCGGATTTGAACTCAGGTCCTCCTGACTGCAAGGCTGGAGCTCTGTGCACTGTGCCACCTAGCTACCCTGGGGTTGAGAATTTCTAACAACATTAGGCATTGCTGGGTTAAATGCTGAATTTTTCCTTTGGGAAGCAGTGTGAAAAGTTGAACCCACCCTCCATAGGACAAGTTGAACTTTGCTTACAGTACATAAAGAAGAAACCTAAGCTACATTTTTGTTTGTGTCGTTGAGAAACGACTCCTTATCCCCCTGGCTTTCATTCCCCTCTTTGTGGCTGTAGAGCATGGAGAGTCTCCTGCAGGCTAAAAGCTTGGAACTGGAGCAGCTGTCAGTCACCTGCCGGAACCTCCAGTGGTTGGAAGAAGAAATGAAGCAGAAATTCAGCCGCTGGCAGCAGGAGCACGAGGGCATCGTCCAGCAGCTGCAGACATCTCTGCACGACAGGAACAAGGAAGTGGAGGCAAGGCTTGGGGTTGCCCTGGGTCCTGTCAGGGACGCGTTAGGACATCCTGTGAGGTCTGGGAGTCTGTGGACCGTTTTTTGGTTTTACCCTCTATCACCAAATGACTGGATGTGTCATTGTGCCCACTGTCCTTCCTTCTCTCTAGAATAGGTGGGGGAATAGTTACCTACTTTACAGGAGCAACATGAGAACTGATGAGATCTATATTTTGCATGTTGCTACTAGAGAAAAGAAACACACACACATCAAGCTATTGGGCATACTGTACCATACCCTTTTATCTTTTTTTTTTTGACTTTTTTTTATTAATTTATTTTGATTTATCAATAATCACTTCCATATGCTTTTGAGTTTAAAATTTTTCTCCCCCTTCCTCCCCACCACCCTCCCCAAGACGGCGCACAATCTGATATAGGCTATACGTTTACATTCATATTAAACATATTTTCACATTAGTGATGTTGTAAGTAAAAATAAAAACCAATAGGAGGAACCATCAGACAGAACTCAAAAGAAGAGAAAAAAAGTAGCAATTCATCTTCCATAGTATTTTCTTTGGATGTGGATAGCATTTTCCATCACAATGCCTCTGGAGATATCCCAGATCCTTGTATTGCCAGGAAGGGTTAAGTTTATCAATATTAGTCATCACACAATGTGGCTGTTATTGTGTACAACGTTCTCTTGGTTCTACTCACTTCACTCAGCATCAGACCATACAAGTCTTTCCAGGTTTTTCTGAAGTCTGCCTGTTCATCATTTCTTATAGCACAATAGTATTCCATCACATTCATATACCACAACTTGCTCAGCCATTCCCCAATTGATGGGCGTCCTCTCAATTTCCAATTCTTTGCCACCACAAAAAGAGCTGCTATGAATATTTTTGTACGTGTGGATCCTTTTCCCATTTGTATGATCTCTTTGGGATATAGCCCTAAAAGTGCTATTGCTGGGTCCTTTTTTCTTTCTTTAAAGCAATTTTTGCTCTCTCTTGGAGGTTCTGAAGCCAATAAATAATTATTTTCTGCTAACCCCAAGTAAGTCATTGTTAGCCCTTAGCAAGCAATCACTATTTCCCAGACTGATCTATGAATTGTCACTCTAAACATTCTTGTCGTATAATTCAGTGTATGATCTTCCTAATTCAAGTGGCCAGTGATTTCTGAATCTCTCCCATAGGCTAGAGATTGACAGGCCTTTGTAGCCAACAGCCATTGGGTGGCAGAGATGAAGGAAGGCACCACGACTCCCTCTCCTTTTCAGAATGTCTTTTCTGTCTTTCCCCTCAGGATCTCAGTGCAACACTGCTTTGCAAGCTAGGACCAGGGCAGAGTGAAGTTGCCGAAGAGCTGTGTCTGCGCCTGCAGCGGAAAGAAAGGCTGCTGCAGGACCTTCTGAGTGACCGAAATAAGCAGGCTCTGGAGCACGAGATGGAGATTCAAGACCTGCTCCAGTCTATGAGCGCCAGGGAGAAGGAGAGCCAGGTAAGGACCGGTCCAGGCTCGGTCACGGAGAACACCATCATCTCCAAATAGGAAGTAGCTCAGCGTGATGATAGGACATTTGTATATATACCTACTCATTTTTTTTTTTACCCTGACAAGCGGTATTTTCTTCCCTAGAGAGGCGTTAATAATTTCTATATGATCATAAAATAAAAGAATTGAGATTCTTTGTTTTGAGATGATGAAAGCAAAGGAAGCAATTGAAAGTTTCTCTAGAGATCATATTGAGACACCGAAAGGTTATAATCTTATGCCAACAGTGGTTATCCAAATGCCCAAATAACCCAAATATCAGCCTCCAATGTTAGTGTGAAATGTCTTCTCTCCTCTCTTAAAGGTCCTCAGATGATCTTAGGTTCCTGTCAAAAAAAGAAAAGAAAAGAAAAGAAGATTCTCACAGAGACTGGCTACTGTAACCTAGGGCTAAAACATTGAGTGTAGCCTATTGACTTTCTATTAGCTTACAAATTGAGTAATTCTAGTTATAATTTAAAAAAAATTATTTCTTATTTATTTTGACATTTCCTTCTTCTCCACATATATTCCTTTCCCCAGCCCCTCCATGGTGAACTGTTAATTTTTTTAAAAAAGGAAAAAAAAAAAACAGCTCAGCAAAACTAACCAACAGATCAGTCGAGTCTGAGAGTGTGTGTATTATTCCACACCCCTTGTCCTCCACCTTTGCAAGGAAGAGAGAGAGAGGCCTGTTTTCTCATTTCTTCTCCAGGGTGTTGATCATTATAATTTAATTTCTTCTTGATGCTGCTGGAAAGTAAAAACCATGTCTGTGGTTCACTCAGACCAGAAGTAGAGCTCAGGCTTTCGCCTTTGCACCATTATCAGCCTTATAAAACCATGGTGACCTGAAGCAGTGAGAATGCCAACTGGCCTTGGTCGTGTTGTGCTTGTTGGGTTCTCCTGATAATTTGGCCTAATGGTTGATTTCATCTGGACAGCCCTAGAACAAAGAAACCTATGTTAGCTTAACTGTAAGGAGAGTAACAATCATCTCAATAGGAAATAAATATTGCTAACAAGAAGGGGGCGTCTCCGTACTCTTTCCCCCGACACTTACATTTTCAGCTTGCCCAGGTTCCAATGGCGAGCAAGGGCCCTCCTTAGCTTCCCTTTTTAAACTGAGATAAGCGTTCCCAACCTGTTGGACAAGTTCACCCTTCCAAACAAGGGTCCCTCAAGGCCTCGTCAGCTTGCCATAGAACCAGTGAGACACGACTCCAATCTCCACGTCTGGATTCTCTTTCTGATCTTCCCTTGTTGTTTATTTCCTTGGTCAGCTTGCTTTGGGGAAGATGGTGCAAGCCTTGATGGAAAGGAGCGCGGAGGTGCAGACCTTGCGCCAGCACATCGGAGGGAAGAACCTGGTAATGTTCCCTCCACACGGGGTTGTTTGTTGTGGGATCAAATGGGATGATGTATGTAGAGCACTTAGCCAGCCCATGGGACCCTGAGGTCATATCATCTCGTTATGTCACAGGGGTTCAGCACAAACCAGCCAGCTGAAGCTACCGCGTTCATCGGCCACCATCATGAGGAGCGGCCTATCCAAGTAAGACTTGTGATGCTGCGTGCCATGAGGATGACATTTCAGTTTTTCATTGAGTCCCATTTATGCCTGAATCATGCTCTCAAGGATAACGACACTTTAATCTTAGATTATGACAAGTGCTAATGGCTTTTCAAGGTTTAGACCGATATTTCCTGCTAATACCCTTTCATATGGAGGATTTCATAGATACTCAATGTTCCCCAAATTCCCTTTCCTTAATTTAGGAATCAATGCAAGGAAACATCAAAGACGAACTTACTTTAGTGACTGCTAAAGGCGATGCCAGCGCATCCAGGCCTCGGTCAGGCAAGTATCACACCTATCATCACGTTTTTCCTAGAACTATGTTAGCACATCTGGCCAAGGCTGTTCACTTCTTCAGTCACCCAAATGGTAAGAATGATGTTAGATGTGAGAGAGGAACAACCTCAGGTGGGGTGTTCTGTGCAGAACCAGCCTCAGGAATGATAATCCAAGGAGGGCTCCTGCCTTTGGAGCAGCCTTCCTACCCAGTGAGATCTGGGCTGTGATTCAGGGAAACAGCTTGCAGGGGGAAAAGAGGCCAGACTGCTTCCCACACCTCCCAAGTCTTCTGTTTTGTGACTTACTTTCCAGACAGTATTTGATAATCATTTTAACTTTATTTCTCCTGTATTTAAATTTGTGGGGAAGAGAGAGCTGGAGAGCAAGTCATTTGCCCCAGGCTGTACCCCCAAGGTATCAAGCCTCTAAGTCTCAAAGCTCATTGGGGACAGCTTTGATCCTATGCATAGAAGGAGCAGAGATTTGTGTTAGGATGTTCAATATATCCTGTAGGCCAGGCACTTTTTTATGGAGAGAAAAGTTGCAAATACAAAGCCACTTTTGAAGGACGAAGCCCAGTAAGTTCCAGAACCAGAAAATTGCCATGTCATGTGATGTGGTACAGTGACGAGGCACGTTAAGAGTTTGGTATAACAGGGCATGGTTACACATTATTGGGGAGGCTGAAATTTTGTTTTTTGACAGTTTATAATCTTTTGCTGATATATAATTTTTTATGATTGTTATACAAGTCATCAGTCAATCAGTCATTTTATATGAATTATAAACCATACTGGGTTTTGTTACCTGTCTACCTCTAGAGTCCTAGAAAAAAAAATTGTTAACTGCTGTCTTTATATTATTTATTTGCAAGATGGGTGTGTGGACTATTAGAGATTGGTGGTTATTATAGGCTACTAAACCCAGGGGTAAGCAGCAAGGGTCAGTTGTACTGTGACAGGTTTCGGTAATGATTAAACCTCTGTGAGCATTCTGTGTTTATTTACAGGAAACACAGAGGCCTCTGCAGAGCTGGAGAGGGAACTGGTTCATGCCAAAGAAGAACTTGAACTCATAACAAGAAAAGAAAGAGAAAGGCGGGTGAGTCCTGGGCACAGGCTTCGTTCCCCAAGTGTTTTTTCCAAAGCCAGTTTAAACCTGTCTTGGCACGTGGGCCCTTTCAGTCGTGCTATTCTGTTAGAAGTTAGAGAAAAGGTGCCTTTTAGGGAAGGAAGGCAAACTGTGTCACCGATGCCATCGTGAGCCGTTTCTTTTTACGCCGTTGGAACCATAACAATTGCTCACGCTAATTGTTTCAAATACAAATCGTTGTCAAGTAAAAAAATCATTTGCAGAAATGAGGGACTTTGCAATTGTTTATCAGTCATGATGTTAATACTATAGAATTTAAACATTGGAAATGAGGAGCAATAGAAATTAAATTATTTTGGATCTGTTTTCTTGGGACAAAGACTTTTTCCTATTACCTCACACTTCCATTTCAGCAACTCAGCAAGCGCTAAGTTCTACAAGGGGAAGCACACTCTGCCAGTGCCAGGGATATAAAGGCAAAACCCCAGACCACTGAATGCCCTCATGCTGCTGCTTTTATTGGGAGACATCACACATAAAGAAAGAAGGAAATGGCAAATAATTTGAGGGGAGGAGAGGGCACTCACAGTTAGGGGTCAAGAAGAGAAGCTGCCCGCACCGGCCTGAGCTGAGCCTGGAAGGAAGCTCAGGATTTGAAAAGCAGGGGGAGGCATGGGAGGCGGCCTGTGCTAAGGAACAGAAACTAGAGGTGGCATGCTGAGATGTAGAGAACAAGGAATCAGCAAGTTTGGCTGCAGCCCACAGTGTAGGAAGGGGAATAAGGCGAAGGTGGACCGGGGCCGTACTGTGAAAGAATCTAGATGCCAGTTGGAGGAGTTTGCAGTTCAGGTTGGTGGGCAGTGGGAAGCCGCTGAAGGTGTTTGAGCAGCATTGACTTGGTTGGACCTCTGTCTTAAGGAATGTTGTTTTGGCAGCTGAGGAGAGGTTGGGTTGGAGAGGGAAGAGCTTTTAGGCAGGGAGGCCAATGAAGAGGCTTGTGATGGCCCAGGCAAGAAGCGATGCTGAGACTCTGAACTGGGCTGTGAGTGGAGTGAAGGGGACAAATGTAGGAGATTTGGAGTCGATGTGATTCGGAAGCTGGGTGAAGGTGAAAGAGAAGAGAGCATCACCGTGTTAGCATCTGCCTCAACAGAATAGGGAAGTTTTGGCAGACACTGGTGTAGGGGGAAAGATCATGGTTCTGTGTGGGTTGTGTCATTTGAGACACTCTTAGAACATTCAGGCAGAGATGGCCAACAGGCAGTTAAGGATGTCGGACTGGAGTTTAGCAGAAAAATGAGAGCGTGATGTGTGAGGACCAGCACGTAAGCCAGCTCTTCCAGATGAAAGGATGCAGGGAGGGGAGTCATGGGAAAAGACCAAAAGGATAGTTGGGGTCCAGGGTGTGATGAACTATAAACTGAAGAATTTGTATCTGATCCAAAGAGGCCCTGGAATCCGGAGAGGAGCCGGTCAGACCTGTGCTCTAGGAGCTCCCTTTGGGAGCTGAGCTGAGCTGAGCTGAGCTGAGCAGAGGATAGACCGGAATGGGGAGGAATGTCAGGGTCTCACAGAGGTTACAGTCTATCCGTGTCTGTGCATCCTGTGCTGCTTTTGTCCATATCTCTTCCCACATCTGCTCCATAGAGTATCCAATGGGCTGGAGGCAAATTAGAGTTCTGCTCATATTGCAGTGAAGCAGTCTATCATTCGCATTTCTTCTGCTGTGTTACCTCAACCTGCCTCCTTTTCTGATCCCCAGTCTCCGATGCACTTTGTCACATCTTATACACGTGCTATCATTAGTAACTTGTGGTACCCTCCTTCACCCACCACACAGAGCTTTCTATTGCCCATTGGGTCACCAATAATTCTGATTGTCTTGAGGTTATAGTTTTTATAATTAGCAACAATCTAATATCATTAGAAGAATATTTTATCAACAATGGGCTTCTATGACTGGGAAGATCTGGGGATCATTTAAAGCCCTGCATAATTTTAAAATGCCATCTAGCTCATATTTTCCCTTCTGTTCTGGGCCCAACTTAGCTATATTGTCTGCCTACATCTGTGTGAACTATGCATAAACTATACATAGTGTTAGTCTAAGTCAATGAGCTGCACATGTAAATTATGTCGTAATCTGGGCAGTATGCATTTTTCATCCACTTGATTTTTCCTGGGTGGATTGCTGGGCTAAACTGTGTGTGTGTGTGTGTGTGTGTGTGTGTGTGTGTGTGTGAGTGTGAGTGTGATTGTGATTGTGATTGTCTGCAGTGAACACTGAGGGCACCCTGAATTCCACAACTTGATATGGGTAACATTGTGCTGACTGCAAACAGGGGCAAAGCGGCACCATCTCTGGGGAGTCACTGCTCTGTCTGGTCTTTGCCGAGCACATTCCTTGTGATGTAGGCAAATATCTTTAGTGTACCAGTGTCTCTTGGCTTGGCTGTGGTGGTAGTCAAACAAAATTATCCCCATGCCTGGATCTACCAGAGAATCTCTAATAACCTTAACGTGTGTATGAAACATATGGTTAAGGAGAGTCTTGGAGAATGCACTAAGACAGCAGAACCCGATGATTTAACACATGCTTTCCTATAGAGAATCACTTGCAGAGGCCGTCCTCTTTCCTTCTCATGTTTTCATCAGAGATAAACATTGTTATCTGGGTAGACTGTTCTTGTAGATTTTACGGAGGTGAGAAAGTCATTAAGTTTCTCCTTCCTCACATGGCACATTAAGTGCTGAAGCCATGGAGTCTAGAGATGGGGCTTCTGCTGTTCTTAGGAGCTACATCTTTTCTCCTTCCCGAGGCTCAGTTTCCTCATCTGTAAAGTGAGGCAGTTGGCCCTAGAATTACCCCAAGGTCCCTTCCAACTCCAACTACATCGTAGAGGCAACAGGAAACTGCTGGGGTCTGTTGCTCATTTTATTCTACCAATTCCACAAACCATAAATTACTACATAAAATAAATAGTCCATGATGAAACAGAAGCTATGTAAGGCGAATTTTGGTTCTTTATTACTTGGTATATTTTTTAATTTCTTAAGAGCTTGTTTCCCTAGTAAAGAGCCTGACTTCATGGAATGTTTTAGCTTTTCGTCAAAGTTGAGCTAGTGCCCAGCTAGCTTTTAAGCCTTCAGCCTATACTGTTCTTCTCATTTTTATCCCCTTTTTGGAGTTTGATGAAAGTATTTGCCAGCAAATAATGTGGCCTCATGTCTGTGTGGATGTGAAGTATTTAGAGAATGCTGATGTCATTCATCATTACATTGTAATCAAAGATGTTGCTGCTGTGTTTGCTGAGTGTGGTTGAAGACCAGCAGACGACATCATTGAGGATGACGCTACAGAGGACAGCCGCTGTGGTGTGCCCCACATGCCCAGAGCACGTCATTAACTGATGTTGTGACAGGAGATGAAAGGGAGGTGATCTGGGGGAAGACGCTGACCTCAGTCTTCCGTTGTGATGTTGTGTGGCCTCCCCACAGACTCTGGCCACTGCGCCCGTAACTCCGGCATGTTCTCTCTTACCAGATGGAACTCTCCGCTCTCCAATCCATGGTCGCTGTGCAGGCGGAGGAGCTGCAGGTTCAAGCTGCTGACATGGAGTCCCTGACCAGGAACATGCAAATCAAGGAAGACCTAATCAAGGTCTCTGCAGGCTCTTGAGTCGGGCCCGGGGCAGTCAGAGTCCTGAATGTCCTTAGGGCAACCCCAGTCCATTGCCAGTGGCGGTGTTCCTGTCATGTTGACACCACCCCTAATCCAGAGCTGCACTAATGATGTACTTACCAGGGGCTGTATCTGTTGAGTTTTCCTTTTGAGTCGGGGGTTCCTCTTCTTTAGAGCCTTGAATCTTCTTGTGGACAGGGAGGGGACTGTTTCAAGGGTGACGTCCTCTGTCATTCCTCCAGTTGATGCTGTTTTTTGGTCACCAGGACCTTCAGATGCAGCTTGTGGACCCCGAAGACATCCCAGCCGTCCAGCGCCTGACCCAAGAAGTCTTGCTCCTTCGGGAAAAAGTAGCCTCAGCAGAATCCCAGGGTCAGGAAGCAACCGAAAACCGCAGGCATCAGGTAATGACTTCTCTTCTGATGTCACCTTAGGAAAAGATGTGGTCTCGATGAATTGTGAAATAATCAGCTTGTGATGTTTTCATTTGGTAGCAGTGAAGAAACTTTGATCTATTTTCTGCCTTGATTTATAGAAATTATGGTATCTTATTCTGAGATTAGGGAGCCCGGAATTTATAGGTCAAGCGAGAATAACAGTGTGTTTTATTACTAGACTTACTCATTTTTACCTCTAGACTACTAAGTGTTGCTACCAAGTAGGTAGGGAGATGTAATTATCTTGGCCAACTTGTATTTTCTACAAGAATTTTTTTAAAAACTTTCTTCTTTCTTTTTTATGGGCTTTTTCTTTCGAAGGTTTAGAATACTTGGGAAAACATTACCTTTCCTACTCAACATGTAAGTTAAGTTACATGCGTCTAAGATGTAGGGAGGTAAAGGGACCAGAAAACATCATATAGGATTCCCTGATGGAATGAAGGATTTTGAAAGTGTGGAAAAGAGAAGACTTAAGTCTTTAAGTATTTAGAGTGTTAACGTGCAGAAGAAGCTTGGCCCAGAGGTCAGAACCAGGAGTAGTGGAAATAAGTGATAAAGAGGTGAACCTTAGCTCAATATAAGGAGGCCCTTCCTGGGACCGAGAGCTGTCGAGCGGCTGAGAACTAGGGAGTGCTGTGTCATTGATGCTGCATAACTCACAGATACTGCTGCATAACCACTTTTCCCATTGAGAAAAAGACATTCCTGCCCAGGCAGTGAGGGGAAGAGATGACCTTTGAGGTCCCTTCTGACTCTGAAATTCTGACCCTCCCCAGAGAAGAGAAACCTTCATTTCTGCCCTTGCTTCTCTCTCAGCTGCTGCAGGTGATGGAGGGGCTGGTGGAGGAGCGGGGCCGGCTCAATGAAACCCTCCAAGCAGAGAGACGGCTCTACAGCAGCCTGGTGGAGTTCCACACGCATCCGGGCGGGTAAGAGGGCTTGAGACTGTTCTTTCGGGAATGTGCACGGAGGGCAAGGTCCATCTCTGTGTCCCCAGAGGCGGACAAAGAAGGAAGGAATGCAGGGGCTCCTTAATGTGGTCTCCTAGTCTGCCCCAAGGAGACCCTGTTCATTGGAGTGAGACAGTAAAGTGCCAGATGGCTGAACCCACATTGAGCTTGTTGCCATGTTCTGGGGCCTCCGCAGTTTTCTTTCTTTATGTTTTGTCATTCTGCTTTAATTTCCCCCCCCTATTTTCTATTCATTACACCATTTTCCCAATTTTTATCTTCACATTTTTCAGGAACTCCTAGTTAATTTCCTTTTAGTTTTTTTCTTCCTTTTCTACTTTCTGTAGGTAGAAGTAAAGATTCTGATAGAAGAAAGACTGTACAATGAAAGTGGACCAAAAATAACTTGAAAACATCTTTCTCTTAGTAGCACTTTAATCTTTGTTATCAGTGTTTGGAAGAAAATCTTTGAATCTTTAGTTTCTTGGTTTCAGTAACCTTTTCAGGACTTGGCTTAGTTACCTCAAAATTTCAAAACTCATGTAGGAAAAAGAAGTCATTAGAGAAGGACTCTCTCTGGTCATGGTTTTCTTTCAGATTGCAACTTGTTTTAGTAATCCACATAAGAAGATTCTTCCTTAGTATAATGGGTTGTTATGGAAGAAGAACATACAGTGGGAAATTGGAATTCTCTCAAGGCAATATGAGCTGTGGGGAATTATGAGCAGGGGATTCTAGGAAACTCCTTTTCTGTGAATTTGGGCCAAAACTTGCGATCGGAGGAGTAGGTGCTAAAATCGGCCTAACAAACACCCAGCGGTACACGCTGATGTCCTGGACAGCGGTCACTAAGGAGCACTTAATGACTCCAGCTTCATTTGGAGTCATTTGGTCTCCTTCAAACCACTTTCTAACTCTTCTTCCTTTCTGTGTGGCGTGTCCAACCAGCTCTGAGCGAGATCAGGCCCTGCAGGTGGAGTTGGAAGGAGCCCAGGTGCTGCGCAGCCAGCTGGAGGAGGCTCTCGGAAGAAGCCTGGAGCGCCTAAGCAGGCTGGAGACCCCGGCTGCCTTTGGAGGTGGGGAACGGGAGAGTGTGAGAGCTCACCACAAGCATGCCTTCTGAGCGCTGGCGGGTCAGGCGACGGCCCAGGATGGAAAACGATGTTTGCACTAACAGAGAGAGAGGAGAGAGCCTTGTCTGACTTGGACAGAGATAACTGGTGATTTACTAACGTTAGAACTGTTGCAATGTAGAACCAACTCAGAAGCAAAACTCAGTTCAATGCACCTGTGTTCTCTTTTGTATGTACCTTGCTCGAATATTGCGATGGAGGTAACCAAATGTATTGCACATCAATCCATTCCATTTTAGTTTATTCCCACCCATTTTCATTCCCTCTCTTTTAGTCTATCCCCTTACTCCTCCATCCCCTCTGTGGGCCAAATAAAGTTTTTTTTTTCCACCCCTTACCCCAAACTATTTTAAATGTTCTACATCATGTCACAAATGCATGCGTGTGTATTACTATTATTTTTTCCATCCAGAGGACTCTTGCTTTTGAAATGAGGACTGCTTTATGACCAGAACATAATTGCAAAAGAAACAGGTTGAGGGCCTATGAAGACGACTTTCTTGAAACAGCAGTAGCATCTTTTGCCTGGAAGAAATTTAAAATAAGGAGGGTGGCAGTGCAGGACTTGCCTTAGGGAATGGGAAAGGCACCATTTGTGAGGTGGGCTAAGGGCTGTTAAGGTATTAGTTCATCTTTGCTTTGCTGCTCCTCCTTCAGGGCCGCCATGTAAACGTAGATTGAGACCAGCTCAAAATCAGGCTCTGAATTCCTGTTCACTGGTCCTCCTGGATCAAGGGCAAGCTGCTCTTTTCTCATGGGATCTATCAGAGGAAGCCCTGGGATCCTTCCAGCCCAGAATGTTTAACATTATTTATTAATTTATTAATAATATTAATAATAATTAAGTTCATTTCAGAGCCAAGTTTCCTCTTTTAAAACTTTCAAATGGTAGCAGTAGTGATGGGGACAGGAGGCAGAGACTGGCAGGAGAGCAACATTGCTGCCTACTCAGATTTAGAGTCAGAACGGGCTCGTGTGGACGTTGTGGTTGGCAGTGGGGAGGAAGGTATGGAATAGACAGGTTTCCTGGGTGCTTCCCAGATGAGTGCCAATGCATCTCTCCAGTGAACGGTGAACAGATCCCAATCCTTGGAGAGCTTTGAACAGCTAGAATTCGCAGACCCAATCTGTCGCTTCCTTTGATGAGAGTTGGTCTCCCACAGGCATAGAAGCCGTGAGCATCTCATTGTGGCAGGCCACGTGTAAGGAAAGCTGCCCAACGTCTTGTACCAAATAGTTACGTTTTCAGTGTCTTGAGCGCCAAGAATGGAGAAGTTCTAGCGGATACTTGGAGGCATGTGGGTACATCATTATGGGTTAGTGTTTCTTTTGCCTTCATGGTTACCAAGGTATAGGCTTGGGAGTAAATGAAGACACTGAGATTTGAGGTAGTTTAGAACTCGGAACTCCTAGGGTTTTTTGCTCAGTTAAGATGATTGAACATCCGTTCTGACTTGGGCAGGGCCCAAAGATCTCTGTTTCTGACCATTTTACATGAATCTTTTTTTTTTTCCACATTCATGTGTCGAGTGGCTGGAACTTCATTCTGAATTCCATCCGAATTTCTGTAACCTTAGCTGGGCATGTAACAGATACAGTGTCACTCAAACTGGAGTGGGCAGGGAAGAAAATGTTCCAATAGGAGAAATTTTCTGGTCACGTTTAGACTGTTAAAAAGAGTCAGATCTGCATCACATTAATAATTTTCTTTCCATGGGATATGGAAACTTACCACTCTGTGCCTCCTTTTGGGAGAAAAAAAGCTGCTTGAAGTAAGAAAGATGACAAGGTAATCAGAAGCTCAGTAGACTAGACCTAAGGTTGCCCCTTTCAGTAGTCAGAAGAGTTATTCTTAAGAGCTATGAAAACGGCAGACTGCCGCCAGGCAATCTGGACAGCAAAGGAAGGAGGAGCACTCCTGGAGTCCAAGGGAACATAGCCTTGTGATAAGTCCAAAGCCATAACTCAGATACAAGAGGGCCTCATTATATTTTGGGCTATTTGTTCTATGCTGATCATTTTCAGCTATCAAAATTAGAGATGTTACTTTTTCTTTTTTAAAGCTAATATAAAATGCCTACCAAGAACCCTGTTGAAATGGACCAAGAAAAGAAAGTAGTCCATGATGCTGATACAAATACTAAAAATCCAAACCATTTCTTACTGACTTTTTTCTGCTTTGCCAACTAGGCTTTGCAAGGCATTTTGACAGTTGGGTGACTTGACAGCATTATTGTTTGACAAGGTGGATCCAGAGTGTGAGGGTATTTTGAAAGGGCTAGTTCAGAGTGTGAACTTGGTAGCCCAGATGTAACCAAATACTAGTATTAAAACAAGTTTAACCGACCTGGGACCTGAAGCCAGAGCCTGAAGGAGGTCTGCCGGTTTGGAGATTTTATAATAGTTTGGCATCCATTCAGAGAACAGGGATTTGTTAAACTTGGTTCATTAGCCCACAGAGAAGTGCTTTGATTGGACAGCACTCCTGTTACCCTCTTCTCAATGTAATCTGAGGCCACCATGACTTCAGGGGCACAGACCTGGTCTGGAACTGGATTTTTCCACCTTTTGTTAGGTTTTTCAACAAAAATGTAATTTAGTATAAATTGTAGGCTTAAGAAAACACCTTTTTATTCAAGAAGAAAAATGTTCTTTGCCCTGGGAAAAATCCATATTATACCCTGTAACATGTACTGTACAATGTATGTGCCTGTTCTTCCCCTCCCCATACATTTCATCTCATTTGCTCTTATTTAATTTGGAAAGTGGACATTCTGCTATGATCTGAGTGTCACAGTTTTGAGAATTTTGGCTGCCTCGATAGGCTTCGTGAGCCATTGAACGTTTGAACTTAAAGTGACCTTCAAGAAGTTTACTGCCCAAAAGGGAAGACTATCTCTATGGAGTGTTTTTAAAAAATTACATTTAACTTTATCCTTTTTATTCACTTAGAGAAAAATACTCCCTTTATATTATTTTGCAGTTTTAAAAATCCATGCTATTTAAACATGGTTGTCAGTGAAATTAAGCATTTCTCTGATCAGCCCCTCCTTTCATACAACCTCTCCAACCCACCATCTGTCTTGTGTTAAAAGTGGGTGATGGTTGAGCCATGGGCTGTCAAAGCATCCAGCCACCAATCAAATTCCCAATCAGATAACCTTTACAAGGTATCATTCCACCTCTCTCCTTCCCTGAGCAAATCTTCATTCAATTATGGTACGCAGATCCTCTTAATACATTGCATTTTCACAGAACTTCTTTCAGTAGTCACACACCTGTAAAATGATGACACAAACGAATTGTTCATTCAAGATCCCAAAGGTATCAACTTTCAAAACAAAACGAAGACCTCTTTTTGAACTTAGTTTTAGGAATTTTTTAAAAAATAAATATACAAGGATGTAGTGTTTTTAGGCCAAATCTATCATTGACTTATTTCCCTCTTCGTAGTCTCCAGTGGCTGATCATTTAAAAAAAAATTATTGCAATGTTTCTGCCAGACTCCTCAACAAGTTTATACATAGGTGAGCATCCATCCAGGAAAGCACAAAATTACCGAGTGTTTTATGCTAATATGCCCTATGCCTGCATCATAACATATGTATACTCCGTAAGAGTTGAAAAGTGAGATGTCTGCATCAAACCATCTGGGAGCAGGTTACCTGAGGGCCTCTCCACTTCCAAGCCAGATTGGCGTTTTCTGTTTCACCAAAAGGATCGCATCACACAGGTCTTTTTGCTCTGAACAGTCAATTCTGCTTGTTAGTCAAAGCACTGGCATTTTTCAAAGATCACTCCCCTTTGTTTTAAAGAGATTTAGATATCGGGCTTTCCTGAGCTCATGTGAGAGAACCCCGGCCCCTGGTGGCAAGATGATGAACATTTTTTCCAGGCTTCAGAGCTTTTTACAGAGAAAATCTTGCATTTGTCACAAAATGAAAAAAAAAACCAAACCCCAAACCCAAAGTACTTAAAAAAAAATCAGCCCCCACCCGGTTCTGTGAAGGTAATGCCAGAATGAATGAAAACGGCAGTCTTGTAAGTCAACCCTCTGTTAAGTAATTCTCATGGAGTCAGTGAATGACCCTTTTCCAGGGCTGAGTTAAATGAAAGTACGGATGGTTCTTTCATATGATCTAGAGCAGAGGTGTCAAAAATGTGGCCCCAATGCTCCTGAGTGAGGACTGAACCAGATTAAAATGTAATTGGCGAATATTTAACAAAATAAGTTAAATTGCAACGAAGTGTAGATAATGTTAGTATGTTAGTAAGCCAACATGGATCGCTATGCACTGCTTGGTAGCTTCTTTTTCTATTTGAGTTTGACACCACTGACCTAGAGAAAGGCCTCAAGGCAGCATTGCCCCCTTTGTTGGATAATGTGTAACCATCAGCTCTTGAGTTTCTATCCATAGGACTGGGAGAAAGAATCCCTGAGGGTATGGAACCAGTTCAGGCATCCTGTAGTCTGAAGGATGCTGTCAATTGAGGGATGATTTGGGGGTAATGCTCTGTGTCTTCAGCTCATCTCTGAAATAAGTTTTCAACATCCCATTCCCCAGACAGCCACAGGGATGACTTTCTCAGAGCATTTCATCATGGGCAGGGGACAGATATGTCCCTCCATGGGAAATGGTCTGAATGTAACTGAAGGTAAGTCCCTAACTCCCATTTAATCATGTCAGCATTAAGCTGCCAGAGTGACTTTTCCATACGACCAAGTGGCCTTTATTTCTATTTTTCCTTCAGGAAATAATGGAAAGTAAAGAAAAAAAATTGATAAGGTGGAAGTAAAAATGTCAGTCTCGTATCATATTTCATTTGATGGACGAGATTGCATGAAAATGCATGTGGCTATATAAAATGTCCAAAGGAATCAACTCAGAAGTAGGCTCTGTTCCACTCTTCCTCTTGTACCTGCAAAATAGGATTCCAGAAAT